ATATATATATATATATATATATATATATATATATATATAAAAGCAACCTTTTGAGATTTATTTGACTTGCTGCACTATTTAGCCTGTTGAGAGCCTTAATTTTTTCAATCTGTTAGAATCTGTTACTGACAGCAGGTCAATTTAAATGTTTTTCAGTTGTCCTTTTGACTGAATAGTTGCTGTATTGTGCCAGCAAGTTTTTATATTTTTTGTCTTGAAAAAGTATAAATAAAAACATGTTTTTGTCCAAATTAAGGTAATTTTATGGTTCCTGATTTCCAGATCACGTATTAGCAATAATCTTAACTAAATTCAGGTCACTCTTGTAAATGAGTCCCCGAGTCTCAATGGGATTAACCTGTATAAATAACAGTTGAATGGAAGAAAATGTTTGCAGCCAATACATGTGATCAGTATCAGTGATAGACAGAAAAAAATCCTGATCGGAGTATCCCTAGTCTACTTTTGGCCTATTACATTAAGGGTTTAGCTTTTTTTTGTTTGTTTGTTTGTTTGTTTGTTTGTTTGGTTGGTTTTTTGCTACATTTAGTCTTTAGCCTTTTTAAACGTTACCTTTTTTAGTCTTTAGGATTAACAAGTATAAATAAAGGTTGAATGAAAATAAAATAATTTAGCTACATATTTGCTATATTTAGCTTCTGGTTTGTTTGTTTTAACTGTAACAAATTGCAGTTAAGTCATCCAGCATACGACATTCATATTTGATTTTCAGAGGAAATGCCATTTCTTTAGTTTCAAAATCGTTGTGTAAATAGATTTTTCAGCCACACAAAACATTATAAATTCAAATTATATTCAATCTAATATTTGAGTTTTGTAAAAAAAAAAAAAATTTCATTCATTCAACCTTTATTTATACAGGCTAAGCCTCACTGAGCCACGGGGACTCATTTGAAAGAGGGACCTGTTCCAGACAGAACATATAAAGTACAGACAAGAAAACAATAGACAATGATAACAATAAACTACAGCAAAGATGCAGTTAAAATAATAGTAGTGTACAAAACTTCTTGTTGCATGTGTTACTATGAAGTGGATTCTTTTAATAGCCGAGAAATACAGTACATCTGAGCAGTTGTGACAGTATTACAGTCATGTTCTTTTCTAAAGGATATGAAACATAAGACAGCATCAAACACATGGAGCATGGATCAGTGGGTTTTACAGCCTAATTCATCTACTTCTGTTCAAGCCTTCCAAGCCCTTAACTGCTCACTCAGGTGTTTTACAATCACTGCTTTCCCCCCCACTCTCGTCAATTGTGTCTCTCTCTCCCCACATTCTCTGGAATTTAAAATACACGACAGCAGCCTGGATGGAAAATAATAACACATCTCTGATAACAAGGTGACACTTTATTGATCCCTGTCAGAAAAAATGTCTTCTATTAGGAGGTGAAGTGCTATGATTCAGATACAGAGCTGTTGAAGTGAGACTAACAGGAGCTCTGAACAGTTGCTTTTCTTTTCTTTATATATATATATATATATATATTTTTTTTTTTTTTTTCCTGCTCAAAAAATGGAGCCGTTATGGTCTATCTCACATGTACAGCAATTAATAAACTGATTCATGGCAACATAATTTACCAACTAAGATAAACTGTTTTAAGACAATAGGCTTGTAAAGACATCTGAGGGATTTGCTCTACATTAGCAAGGTCAAAGGTGAACCGGTGGGATGGGCTTTGGTTTGGGGCTTTAATGAAGATGGTGGGAAGCTGACAGGCCTCAAGTAGAAGCCTTAAAATTTACAGCATTTCTCTAAATGACCCTTTTATTTTATTGTATACTTTTACTGTTATTGTTATTATAGTTTATTGTACAGCTTTGAAATGATACTGATATGTTGTCCCACATATCCTATTTTCAAACAACAAAACAGAGATCAGTGTTGGATACTGTGCATTGTAAATGGTAAATGGACTGTACTTATAGCACCGTTCTATATTATCAAGATATAAGTGCTTTACAACACCATCGGTGCCTTTATTTACCCATTCAGTACTTTATATCTACAAAGACAAATCAGCGCTTTATCACACTCATGCACCACTGGGTCACACATCAGAGGCAATGAGGGGTTCAATGTCTTGCCCAGGGACACTTGGGCATGTCACTGATGGTGGAATCGAACCCCCAACTCTTGCATCGGATGATGACTGCTCTAACCACTCAGCCACAGCCACCCCTTTAGATTGTATATCTAAATTGGTGTCAGCTTTTTTAGGAAAAATCTCAAACCTGCACAAACAAAAATAATATATCTGACAAATGTTCACAATTTAAAGAAGTCTAATATCTTTTCTCTTTGTTTTTTCATTTGGGACCAAAATATAAAGTTGTCCTGAGCCTCTAATAAATCACGTTGTAAGCGATATATTATATTGTGTTTAAAGAATCACAAAACTTGTAGCCTTTTTAATTGCGCTTGTGTCACTTTATTCTACATTGTTTAGTATTTTATGAATTAATTAACTAAAATGTTTTATTTTACAGCTGTTGTGCATTTTTTTTTTATTATTATTAAAAGTTACACTTTCAGCGCTTTGACGTGGAACAAACGAGGAAGTGATTCCTCAAACAAGTGGATGAGCTCAGAAAACTTGTTCAGAAAGGGGGTGGTATCACAGAACTTCATCTCTGATTTGAAACTGTCCATTTAGTATTATTATTATTATTATTAGCTATTACATTTTGTTTATTAGGGAGAGAGGGAGGGAGGGGAGGGGGCGCGCTTGTTTTTGCGTAAAGCTGCCGCTGCGCACGAAACCTCTCTCTCTCTCCCCCTCTCTCTCTCTTTCCTTAGCTCTTTGGTTGTGTCGCTTTTTTTGTTTTTTTTGTTTTGTTTTGTTTTTTCATCCTTTGCTTCTAACCATAACCCACCCCCTCCTCCTCCTCCTCCTCCTCCTCCTCTCTTTTCTCCACTTCTATCTCAGCTCTGCGAAGAAGAAAACCGAGGAAACCGAGGATTGATGTGTTGCTCGACTTGAGCATCTTTTTTTTTTTTTCTTTTTTCTTTTTGGCTTTAAACCCTCCCATCCACGCCTGCCGGCATTTCTTTACAAATAATAATAATAATTAAAAAAAAAAAAAACATCACAGCTTTTTGATCATGTCTGATCATCTTCACGTGATGACAGTAAGTGGCTGCGTGTGTGCGCGCGCTCGCTGTGCGCCGGTTGGCCGTTAATGTAGCCGTCCAGGATCGCTTTGGATGCAGGAGGAAGAGCTCGCGAGGCTCCGGGAAGCTGCGTCCATCCCTCCGTGTCGTCCTCCTCCTGCGACCGGCTCCGTGCCCCGGTGATGCTCGGCCTCTCCGCCTGGATGCGCCCCTCTCTCCACGCTGTTCCGTCGCTGCCCCCACCATCCCCTGACAGCAGATTTCCGCTGTTGCCAGAGAAAGGTCTAGGGACCACATATGGAAACTGGGGATCGTAATTTTAGGAAAAAGGAAAACTAACCAGGCTGCAGTTTGATTTTTCAAAGCAGTTCTCCCCCTTCTTTTTTTTAATTTTCTATCTTAGTTTAATGTTTTAAGAGAGAGGAGCTTATCAACCCTTTACCCCACCACCTTTTTTATTCTCCATCATCCAAAGAGTGGGTCTGATGGCGGTCTTGGTGCCGGCTGAAACTGAGCATTTTTTTAGCTTTCTGTCCTTGATTTTGAATGCATGCTTGAACCTGCTGGCTTGAATCTGTTCTCTCTTTTCCTTTAGCACATCCAGTACTAGTTTTCTCAATACGTTCTGCACTCTGCCTGTCCATCTTTGCTTGTCTTCCATCGCCCTCTTTCCAACCAAAATTCAGTTCAGGTTAGAGATCAACCTTAATAATTCACAGAAGCAGCCTAACCCCATCACTGAATTGTATCATCCTTCATCTCAGGGCTCTGTTTTTGCTTAGATGGAGGGAGGGTAAAGAGGTAAAGTAACCAGGCAGTCAACTGTGTAAGCCTTAACCGCACTCCGCCCCCACCACCTCATTGCTTCATCTCATTCACTATGAATTAATTCAAACTGTGTGCATCCGGGTGTTTGTCCATGTACAAGCATGTGAAAGTTTAGGTCAGGAAGTGTGTCTGTCTGTGTGTGAGCAGGAAGCTGTGCAAAGGGGTTCATGAGGGATGAATTAAAAGTTATCTCATAATAATTAAAGCTGTGATTGTAATGTCTTTAATCAAGTCAGAAAGTTAAAAAGAGCTGAACAAAGTCTGGTATCTTCACATGATCTCAGCCTTTCTCTGAGTTTGACATTTAGGGGCCTTCAAACTCAATAAAGTAGGCCCAGATCCCAGACCAGGTCTCTTGTGGGATCCACTGGAAGCCTGAGTTTTTAGGTCAGCGTTTATTTTTTTCCCAGAGCAGGGCAACTTAGCGCTGCTTCAAGTTCCAAATTCAGAAAGCTCGACGGCTTAGGGTGCTATAGTTGTTGCCAAAGTGTGTTTGACTCGTCTGTCGAGCCAAACGCCATCTTAAATCTTTACCTTGATCTTGTTTTTTTCACCTATTTGCTAGTGCCCCACCCAAAAACCAACCATACGATTTCCCCCGAGTTCCCCTAACTCCCCTGCCCCCCCTTCAGCCCCCCGCTACCGCCGCCCGCCCGACACAGCCCACCCCCCGTTTTCCGAGCTGGCGTGGCGACGCAAACTCACAAATATTTACTTCCTGTATATCAAAAGGAAAGGGGGTCCCCCTTTCGTGGAATGTGGCAACATGGGCGTGTTTGACCGTGGGGTTCAGATGCTGCTGACCACGGTGGGGGCCTTTGCTGCCTTCAGCCTCATGACCATCGCCGTGGGCACAGACTACTGGTTGTACTCGCGCGGCGTCTGCAAGATCAAGAGCACCAATGAGAACGAGACCAGCAAAAAGAACGAGGAGGTGATGACGCACTCGGGCCTCTGGAGGACTTGCTGCCTGGAAGGTGAGCCACAGAGACACAAGCAGCCACATATACATGCACCAACACATCAATGCTCGCAGGCACACGAGCTGATCGATCCCTGCATGCCCACACACACACACACACACAGTACTGCATTTGCGCTCACATGCCTACACATAAACTCACTTGCCCACTGTTCCGTATGTATTCTGCATTCATTTGCCTACATAACACCATCTTTCTATCGACTTATTGGGACAGCTGTGGCTGAGTGGTTAGAGTAGCATCCTCAAATGCAAGAGTTGTGGGTTCGACTCCACCAGCAGTCACAGTGTCCCTGAGCAAGACACTAAACCCCTCAATACCTCCAATGTGTGTTCCATCAGTGTATGAATGTCATAAAGCACTGATTAGTCTTTGTGCAGATCTAGTAGAGTTCTGTATGAATGGGTAAATGAGGACACAGATTGTGTTGTAAAGCGCTTTGAGTATCTCAATAAGATACAAAGGTACTATATACGTGTAGTCCATATCTATCTATCTATCTATCTATCTATCTATCCATCTATCCATCTATCCATCTATCTATCTATCTATCTATCTATCTATCTATCTATCTATCTATCCATCTATCCATCTATCCATCTATATATCTGTGTTCTGAGTTTTCTTTTTCCTACTTCAACTCAAAGCATCTCTGACCACTAAGTTCACAGTTACAGGACACCTTTAGACCAATCTGGCGTGCAGCTGAACTGCATCTTCACAACTCTAGCTAAATGTACAAGACTGCAAGTTAAACTATCCATCCATCCATCCATCCATCCATCCATTTTCTTCCGCTTATCCGGGGTCAGGTAGCGGGTGTAGCAGCAAGTTAAACTAATCTAAAGAAAAAGAAAGTCATATCAAACTGATAGAGACATGTTTTGGGTATTTGTAGCTCATTATCCATCCATCCATCCATCCATCCATTTTTGTCTTTACCTGCTTAATGCTCTGGTTAGAGTTTAACCTCACAACAAGATTGCAGGATAACCTTCCAGCTTTTCTGGGTAGAGACTTTATGCTCTTACAGCGCACAAGTTTGTTTTCTCTGAGTACTCTTGTTTCCTCCTACTGGCCTGAAACATGCATTTAGGATAACTGATAACTCTAACTTTGCACTAGGTGTGAGAAAGAGTGTGAATGGCTGTGTGTTTCATGGTCTCTATATGGTCTTGAAATGGACTTGCGATACAGGTTTACCCCACCTCTCACATCTGTACTCCCGAAAATAGGCACCAGCTCCCACATCACCCTGAACAGCCTCGATGCAGTGAGTGCCTAATCTCAGTGTAGAAAAACTACCATCATATTTCATGTAACAGTGTTTCATATCTGAAGCAATTTTAAAGTGAAACTCTTGTTTCCGATGGAGCACAGCTTTAGTTCGACCTAATTTGGTCCAATTATTATAAAACTTGAACAAAAACAAAACAAGCGAAAAATGAAGGACTATACATACCTTCACAGCTAGTTTGTATTATAGAAATGGCAAATGGTGGCAGCAAATTTAAGAAAAAAAAAAAGAGTAAAAGCTCAAGAACTTGAGATTAAAAAAATGGATTTATTAGTAGTATAAGCATCTCTGAAAATAAAATGAGTGTGTAGGCAACCGTTTGATTAGGAGAGAAAAAGAGAGAAAAGAAAGCATATGTGAGTTGCAGTGTGAGTGTGTTTGTAATCGTACAATGGGAAAACTGTGAAATGTCTCTTTATGTGTGAACAAAAAATTGACACACTTACATAGACACATATTCACACATTATACGCACACACACCAGTCTTGCTCTGTCCATCATCCGACTGAATCAGAGGATACGAGGCCACGCATTCACCTGATTAGAAGGAGCTGATGACATAGCTTCACTGCATTTTTAGGATTTTCTGCCACAATGAGCGGCTTCGGATGTTATCAGTCCATTAAATGGTCGTTATTAGTTGTTGTCATCCCCATATGTAGCAGTGAGACTGTTCCACCTACCTCCTAGTAGGTTTAAAGGCACGTTATTATCGTTATTATCGCTGATAATAGGCAGCGTCGCACAGGGGTAAACCAGGAAGTGTCTTTTTTGTAGTTTTGTAGTTTGTATGCTTATGTAACCCTTTTCCATAACCTAACCTTACACATGACCCAGAGGACCAACCCTAAACTTAACCCCCTTACCCTTTTGCCTAAACCTAATCAAGACCCTAAACCTAACTGCCAGATCCTTTACTCTAAACCTAACCTGGTGAAGCTATTATGAGCGCTAGCAAAGGTAAAAACGGAGCCTATTGTCATCGCTAACAACGCTAACAACATACCTTTAAACCCATTAGGAGGTACAGGAGGGGCAGTCTGATTGCTACCTATGGGGATGATAACAACTAATAACGACCATTTAATGGCTGATAACATTCAAAGCGGGTCCACAATCCATTTGGATCTCCTTTCTTTCTGTGTGGGAAAGTTTATTTATTCACTCTTCATCTAAGACAACAAAAGCTGTGTGCTGAGTATAATAATGTCCAAATCTTATCGAAGCAATAATTGCACAATCGGAATTCAACGTTAGCTTCTCCTTTTTGGGTTGCAGAGGTGAGAAGCAGAGTACACTATGGACTGATTGCAAACTGATCACAGGGCCACGCTGAGACAAACCAGACAAACAACCATTCGCACTCTCACTCACACTGAGGGAACATTTACTCTTATCAAACATGCATGTTTTGGTCTGTGGAAGAACAATCGGAGTACTCTGAGACATGTCATACGTGCACTGAAAGAACATGCAAACGCCACACATAAGGCCCAGAGGTCAACATTCTAGCTGAGAGTCGACAACTTGTCAACTGCGCCACCGTGTCGGACACGTTCTGAGTTTTGATTATAAAATATTCAAAATTTGCTTTGGTTTTGCCAAACGTCATGAGCAGCCTCTGCTTGTTGCTAAGTAATGTGTGTATATGTGAGGTAGTGGGGGATTTGTGCACTCACTCATCCACCTATTGCAATTTGACATTTTGACAAGAATCTTCTTTGACCTTACTTTATCTCATTTGTCTTGCTGTACAGCGTAATCCTTTCACACACTGTTATTCATCCCTAGCTTTAGAATACAAACATTAATAAGACTGTCACTTCTGTTCTGTGTTCTCAAAACTCTGGCAGTACACACAGTCTAACTCCATTTGGTTTTCCTTTTCTAATGTTAGAGCAGTGGTTCCCAATACCGGTCCTTGAGGAACACCATCCTGCATGTTTTAGTTGTTTCTCTGCTCCAACACACCTGATTCAGTGATTTAATTACTTCAAGTTCTGCTAAAGACTGTTAATCACCCATTCAACAATTAAAACATGCAGAATGGTGTTCCTCGAGGACCAGGGTTGGGAACCATTGTGTTGGGCACTGAGTAGGATGTCCATTGATCTGAGTTGATCAAAAAGATACAAATTTCTCTTTTAGGTGTTTCTTTGTAGGAAAACATTTGCTAAATGACAATGTTTTGCAACTCTGACATTGATTTATCATCGTTTTTCCACACAATATACAAGATGCTGTCATCTTTTTCTGGTCTTAGTTGTAGTAATTTCTCCAGAATTTTATACTAACCAACTTATGCTTACCAATTTCACTATGAAACCCTTTATTTTATATGTGCTCTATTTAGTTCATTCTTTGCAAGTTAAACAGGGGTTCAAACACATTATTTAGAAACAAAATGTGCATACACCAAAGCACTCTGTGACAGGTTAAACGTAAACCCTACAATAAGCAGTAAGCTATTTTCAAAAACAAATTCTACATTCATTGTCACCATTCTCTGTCTCTTTATCGTGTTAGCTGGCCTTTTCATGCTATATTTGAACAGGACAATATGCTCCAGTTCTTCACTTTTTAATTGTCTTTTAACAATCACATAAATATGGGAAGTGGGCTTTGGTGACTAAAAAATAACAGCATTACTTTCACTGGGATGCTAACAGAAACACTGTTAGCTGTAGCACTGTTTCAAAGAAAGACAAAAAAATTACAACAACACATTGAATTTTCGCTTGTTTGTGACTGCCCACTGCTCCACCTGGGGGTGGATGGGTTAAATGCAGAGAGCCAATTTCGCTATTGTGCGGGAACGTACAATGATGACAACACACAACACATTATTTATTTATTATTATTATTATGTACAAGCTAGCAATAGTATTGCAGCTCGGGTAGTAAAGTAAAAGATTTGCAAAGTAGCATTTTCAAACCTGAAGAGCCATTGCTTCCAAAATAAGACAATGACTTATGGAATTTTTATGACGCATTTATTGATTTTTGCCATGCGTGGCAGCCATCTCAACAGAAAATGTTTTATTGTTGTTTTTGTTTTGTTTTTTCTAAATCCATCTTACTGAGAATGTTGCTTTCATACTAGCAATTGGTTGTCACCTTGATAAAATTTACTCTAGCAATGAATCATATTCAGTGTTTTTCATAAAGACAAGTGTGAAAAATTGAAAACAGTGTCATTCTGCTATTAGCATATGCATTTGAAGTAGTTTGTACCAGTATTTGATTTACAACACATTAGTGCTGAATAGGCTTATACCTGAAGTGGTCTTCCTGTGGAAATGGCCAGGCATAGTAAACAGCACTGCATACACAGTTCAAGTTTTGGACATAAAAAACAGATACTAATCTTAACAACTATAGCGACACCAACTCACTAAATGCAGTATTCTGTATTGTCTGCAAAGTAGCATTATTTTTATCATTCTAAGCTTGCTTCATGACTCCAGAGATTAGAAATTGTAAAAAAAAAAAAAAAAAAAGAGCCCAAGAGAGATTTAGTATGTTTGCATTGCCCTCAGAGCTACAGTTGCTACACAGCTGTGTGGTGAGCAAAGGAGAATGAGGGGGGAAAGGGGGACAACTGAAATGTGTTGAGAAACATAAAAAAGAAGGGGAAAGAAAGGAAGAGGGAAACACAAGCAGCTCTGGTTTGCTGTCACACACCCTCAGGCATCC